GTTGCTGGAAACCGCGCTGTATTGCCGTAACAGAGTTCGTTTTTGATAAACAGTTCCACAGCGACTATGCGCTCCGTAACCCTCCAACGCTCCATGCTGAACTACAACGACCACTCTACTCGCCTATCACATGCGCAGGAGAACGTATTGACCGTGAAGGTGCCCTTCTGTAGGACATCATCTTCAAAAAATAATTTGAGGTATGGAAAACTGTATTCTCCAATGTAAATAGAATTTTAAAATACATCATAATGAAATATATCTGCAGTCAGTCATTTGTTATTACAATTAAAAAACCGTCATGCGTTTCTGCTCCTCCCTGCACATGTCGGTTTTCTAGCTATTACCTAGCTTCACATTGAATCTTATTCCATGCGATTTAAAGTTCTCTTCGATGCAGGGACATCTAATGCTTGGGATCTCCCATGAAATCTTCCTTACACATCCAAAAACAATTTTTCCGTTAGAAGTTATATTCTAGGAAAAGTAAAATAGTACTTACAGTCCATTTCTTCCATGTCGTTTTTGTGATCACGGGCAAAGATATCGCCATCATCGTTTCCATAGTACCGCTTTAGTCGACTTTCGAGTATTTTCGTCCTGTTCACCTGACTAGGAACCCAGTCGAGGTCTTCCTCCGTGCATTCCGCTTTCCTCTTGTCTGCTGAAGTTTCTCCCAACTGAAAAGTAGCCTACGTCATAAGTCATTCTTTATTTTCCACCTGATCGTAAGCATATCAAAATAAGGTCTAACAAGGAAGTTCGCGATGTCGGTTCCTTCTCGCACGGAGATCTGCAGTCCCCGACCGTCGAGATAGTTGCGACAGCTCTGAGGAACATTGGAGAAATTGAGGGCAACTTCGAAGCATCGAACATTGAAGTGACGCCGGAGATCCTGTCCAGTGATGACCTCGAGGAACCTCCTCAGGGGGAGGATGTGCATCTTGGATCCCAACCAGATGGTGAGGAAGTCCTCCGCGACGTGGTGGAGCTTGCTCGGCCTTGGCAGGCCATACGGCCAAATATTCTGGCCCAAATTCGCTATTTCTTCATCTATACCCAGTAAAGAAATGAAACTTCTTGAGTGCAGAAACTCATCAAACGACGCCATCGCATTCCCATACACAGTCTCTGAGTGACTGTATGAGCCGTTCATCTCGAGACTGTTCACATTTTTCGAAGATTTTGGAGCAACACTGGAAATTCGACTTTGTTCAAATGCTGTACTGTCATCATTGAACATTCTAAAGTTTCCTAATTTCGATGTAAATCCTGATCAGGCCTGAATTGTATCACAGATTTAACTGCTTAACCCTCCATTGTTTCTTTCGCTTGATAGAAACACGAGAAAAGCAAAAGAGAGATTTGAGCCAGGTGTTCACACAACTCTTTCACAGTAATATGACCAGTCTCCCGTATAGGCCTACAAAGCAATGAAGGAATGTTCGAACATATCGAACATAACTGAGTTTTTTGGTACTAGCGAAGCTTATGCGTGTTTTTAATCCCTTACTGTTTTATTGAAAGCCGATACCAATACGTTCACGAGAATGCAAGCGTCCTATGGTCTCCACATATCTTACCGCTGGGAAGGTATCTGTCGTAGAAATAGAAGACAGGATGCAAGAAGTTGGATTTATGAGCATCCTTGGCTCTTCCTCGGGTAGCCCTGCCGCGACGCAACGTGTCCACGTCCGGACCAGAGAACTCCGGACCGTATTCATTGATCATGACGAGGAACCTGGATCCCCTGTGACCCGTCACGTTTGTGAAGTGCG